ATTAAGCCTGGTGTTTTACCAAGATGAAATCAAACCGGGCAACATATTGCGACCAGATGTGGGCCGTTCCTTGGTCTGCTTCTATTGGACAATCTTAGAGCTGCCGTCTTGGTTTCGAGCGAGGCAGCACGGCTGGTTTCATTTTGGGGTGTTTCCTCTGTGGTTGATGGATAAGCTCCCTGGTGGCCATTCATTTCTGTTTGTGTTTATGCTAAAAACCTTTTTTGGAAAAGGCAACCTGAAGTGGGATTTTTCAAGCACGGGCGTTTGCTGCAAAACTACTTCGCAAGATGTGCTCGTCTTCGGGCGTTTCAGCACTTTACTTGCTGATGAAAAAGCTTTGGTGCAGTTGTGGTGCACGAAAGGTGCATCATCCTACAAGCCTTGTCACCTGTGCAAGAATGTGATGGGGCGTCAAGGTGCACCGCCGGAACATTCTTACTTGATTCCGTACACGTGCACCGATGCCAAGCGGTTTGATTTACACTCCCCGGAATCTTTCGAGAGAACATGGTTCAAATGTTGAAGCTTGCAGCTGCTGACCATGACAAAAAACGGTTTCAAAAGCTTGAGCAAGCCTATGGGTTGGTGTATAACCCGCTTGGGGCGCCATGGTGCCCGGAGCTCCGAGGCATTTGCAATGCTGTCTCCGGGACATGCTGGGACTGGATGCATATCTTGATGGCTAGCGGCGGTGTAGCTCAATATGAATTCAACCAATACATTCGCCGCCTTTGCAAAGCCACTGGTCTGAAGCCAAAAAATCTGGATGATTTTGCTTCCCAGGTTGTGTGGCCTCAGAAAGCAGCGCCTTGGCCCAAGACTTATTTCCAAAAACGAGTTGTGGATGAGGATGACGCTCATCTGAAGGCATTTGCCAGCGAGCTGTTCCAGCTCATGGACATTTTGAATTTACTGATTTGCGTCGTGGTGCGCCCTGCCAATGCCTTGCAGGAGGAGACCGCTTGTTTGGAATGTATGATGGACATTATTTTTTTCCTGTCCTTGCAGGAAAAGACTCTCCTGCACGTGGGAGCTTTGGACAAGGCGATTTGCAAGCATCACCATATGTTTTTGGCTCTCTACCCTGAGTGCAACAAACCAAAAACACATTGGCTCCGCCACATTCCACAGCAATTGCATACTTTGCAATGCAATTTAAGCTGCTTCAGCCCTGAGCGCAAGCACAAGGGTGTCAAAGTGCTAGCTTCCAAAGTTTTTGTCAATGTGGACCGTGGTGTCTTCTACCGGGCAGTGGCAGAAGATGTCAAGGGTTTTTGCAATGATGAGCACGCTGTGGCCCCGGTATTTTTGGAACGGCCTCGGTTGCTGTCAGACGGGGCACCATGGCTGCGCACCCTTTTTCCTGACATGCAAGATGGACGTGGCTCCAAGACACTTCGCTTCGAAGGCGGTTACATTCAGCAGCGAGATTTGGTGTGGTTTCCGGCACACAATGTCCTGGCACAAGCTGAAATGTTTTTGCAAATCCAAACGCTGTCTTGTTCGCAGTTTCTTATTCTGGGAAGTCTATTCCGAGAAGATGCTGCCAGACAGAACATTTTTACACCCACGCAAGAGAAGAGGGTGTTTCCTTGTTCTCCCGACCTCTTGGCAATCTCCTTTTGTGACCGGGCCGGGGGCATCTTTCCTTGTACAAGGCTCGCCTGTACGTAGCTTTGCAATGTAGAAGATTGAAATCTCCCTGATTTGTGTAAAGTACAAGGCTCGCCTGTACATATCCTTGCCAAACATACCCATATGGCAGAGAAGAGAAAAAAACAGTGCGCATCATTGGCTGTACTACACGTGACTTACTAGCCACATGCCTGTGAATTCCTCATTGCCTTTTTTCGTTTCCAAGCGCGTCCGGGGTAAACAAGTTAACCAAAGGCTCGCCTTGGAATACATCGAACGGCTCGCCTTCGATCATGGCTGAGAACACTCCGACTCCGACTTCCGATGCCGCAAGCACCCCTGCCTCAGCAGAAGTCCAGACTCCATCGGAGACGACCGCCCAAGGTGAAGCCCACTTGCAGGAGACGGAGCGGCCAGCGCCGCTTTTTGCACCTGCTGCAAAAAACCTGTGGATCCTGAGAACAGTGTCGTGCTGGTGCGTTCCTATAGCAAGACTGCTTTGTCCAGGCGCTGCAAAGCATGCCACTCCCTCAAGTCGCGCATCAACCGTGTGATGGCCAAGCATGGCAACTTGGCTGCCGACTGGACAAAGATGCCGGAAGAGGACAAAAAGGATTTCTACAAGAACTACCAGTCAATGGTTGGGGATGAACTGCTGGCTCGTTTGCAGGAGTCCGTCACCGAGTACAAGCGTACAAGCAGCTCGGTGGAATTTACCGGTACGGGGGAGTACTATGACGAGGAGGACTTGAAGAAGCGCTATGAGGGCAAACCCGAGCAACTCAAAAACTTGCTGGCGAACACCAAGACCTACTACTGCCCTGTGAAGCAAGTGTGGCTGTTTGAAGATGTGACTTACAAACGGGTGGCGAGAGATGCTGAGGAGACTGGGCGTGTGGAGAAACGCAAAGTGCAGATGATTCCCAAAGATGATGGCGAGGCTGCCGGTAACGAGCCGGAAGAACGGGCCACGAAGAAGAACAAGGGTAATAAGAATAAGGACAACAAGTCTGGTGGCTCTCAATTGCCCAAGTTCAAGGCGGGAGAGAAAAAGAAAATGCTGAGGAAAATGGAAGGGATGACTGGCAAGAGGTTGCAGCTCTTGGATCTGTGCTGCAAGGCCAAGTCAGAGAAGCTGAAGGCGCTGGTTCCTGGCTACGTCCTCTCTGCTAGCGAGAAGATCGTTGATGAGGCCATCACTTTCACGAGTGAGTTTGAAAGAATCTTGGCCTCCGACCATGGCGATTCCAAGGACCTCTTGGAACGCATCGACCGCAACACGGAGGCTTTGAATGAGGCAGCTGCCCGTCTGAAGTGCCAGGTCGAGCAGGCCCAGGAATTCCTGACAGCTGAGGGATAAGGGAGGCTCGCCCCCAGCAGAGCTCCGCGACCATGCAGAGGCTTGCCCTGCAGATTTTGCCACGTTAGTGCATTAGTGCACTACCATTATTACATTAGCACATTAGTGCATTACAATAGCTCCAGAAACTTCACCGAACACTGCAGGGGTACTGGCAGTGCAAAAAAACAAGACCAGCGTCTTTGATCTCACAGTTCACTGCAGTGTCACGTTGACATTCTTGCAGTCAGTTGTTCCCTTTCCCCTTTCCCAACTGCTTCCCCTTGGAACTTCCCATGGGGATGTTTAACCAAATGTTTATAAGGTAGCGGTTCCTTATTTAACCTTAGCCTACCTATAATTGACTATAATGTGTTTCATGAAAGCTTACGGTGAACGAAGTATTTGGCCAGTAGTTTGGCCCACTGCCCATGTGAGATGTTTTCTTTCAAGATTGGTTTCCCTCCTGCATCCCACTGGAAACTTCCATGGCCACTGTGGCCAAAATAGTTTTGGAGTTGAGCCATTTCCTTTGTAACTGTCTCTGACTGTTTACTGGAATTTTCCCATGGATATTTATCTGGAAAATGGGCATGAAGATACCCTCACCAGAACCATTTTGAAAACAAAAAATTGCCACGAGAAAGTGATTTGCAGTCACTTTGTTCTGCACTGTTTTTCCATGAATTAAAAAAACTAAACTTGAAAAAAAAACTCAATTTTTTTGTTTTTTTGGGGGGCGTATCAGAGCCGTATCAGAGCCGTATCAGGGCCGTATCACGGCGTATCAGGGGTCATTCGGGATCAACACTGGAAAAAAAATTGCAAATGGTAACATCCCGGGTAACATCATGGAATTCACCAGACAAAAATGTTCCATCCATTGTCAAAAACGCTGGATGACTTTACACTTCCACCAACATATATTCCCAAACAATTCCCGAGCATTGGATGCTCAATCTTCAAGCGTGGCCACCGGCAATCCCCAAACAAATGCAAATTAAAACCCAACGCTTTCAAACACGGGATCTCCAGCACGGGGGTTCTGACCCCAAACAACAGCGTCTGGCAAACTCGAAGGTACAAATCAAATGTTTCAATGTATGTACTTATATAAATGTATGATCCCAACTTAACGGCACATATGCACAAACACAAATCCGCAAATCTGAGCACAGAAAAGGAAACACAAATTGAACCAATGATATCCCAGAGGGCCCCAAAACCCTTCACCACATAAAAACATGTGTCAATATTTTTGCCCAAAAAATGCCACCTGTTTCCACCCTGCTTTTGGTCACTGCGTGAAATCCCTTTACAGCTCAACGCAATTTTGGTGCCAGAGGTTGTTTTTTCTTTCCAAAAAAGGGTGCGACCTTCCTTTCATCCATGCTTGCGAGCATGCGCATGCATAAAAATTCAGCAGTAAAACATGTCAGGTCTCGGTTGGCATCATTTTTCCCTATGTAAAGTCTTATATGTGATTGGTTGTGATAGGGTATAACCCAAATGATTATTGGAATAACTGTATCTATAGATACCAACATGTAAACATACATACCAACAGACAGACAGACAGACAGACAGACAGACAGACGTACATACATACATACATACATACATACCCACCAAGATACATACATACATACATACATGCATACATGCATACATACATACATACATACAAATGGTGTTGTCGCAAAGCTTGCAAGCACTCAACGGAGAGGATTCGCCCTGCTACCAGGCTCAGGAGCACACGTGCGCTTTCACAAGGCTCGCCTGTGAAACCATGAGCGCAAGCAGCAACAACAAGGCTGCCTGTGAAGCAGTGGGTGGGAGGGAGGGGCAGCCTACCTCCTTGCCACATGGCCCTTCGCAAGCGCCAATGAGATGTACTTCGCCTACGCCGTCAGAGCTCAGTGCGGAGACTTTGTCGCTTGGCTTCTGGGACGACGGCAACTGCCAGGACAATGCGGCGAACCAATCTGAAGAGTGCCAAAGTGTTCCCGACCAGGCAGCTCAGATGGAAACGGACGATCCCTACTGGTACAACACCTTCCTGCACAACCCGCCCAGAGAGGTCACTATGGCATACACAGACTTCCTCCTAGCCCAGCAAGAAGGAGTGTGCAATTGCAAGTGGGTGACCTACTGTGGCAAGTGGGACTTTTGGAAGTGCAATATGCACAGGCATGAACCAGAGGCAACGAAGAACCAGCAATGAGCCCTGAGCGCCAAGCTTTTCACAATTTGTAATTACGGCAAAGCGTGAGGATTGCCCACGCTTCAATCGAGAGCAGCGTGCCCTGCACTGTGAAAAGAAGGCTGTCGACAGTCTTTCGTGGATGTCCCATTTTCCGGCTATTGCAAGTTTTCCTGTCCAAGAGCTTTTGCTCAAACCATCCAGCAATGGATTCGATGGCTGTCCCAGAGCCAAATGACTGGGCACAGCATTTACCAAAGTTGCCGAGGCTCGCCGGGCCAATGCATGTTGCGTTGCCTTGCTGTGGCATCGATGGTTCTGGCTGGGCCTTGAAAGCAATGAAGGCCAATTTTTGTTGCAACAACGTGTATGACCTGGAAGCTAGGTACACGCAGTACTTGGAAAAGTACATGACCGAAGGCTCTGCTGCCCAACTTCACCTAGGGCCCTCTGAAGGAAATGTTCTCCAAACAGACATTTCCACATGGGAACGACCAACCCATGTTCTGCTGGCAGGGCCACCATGCCCTCCGTGGGCGGGCAATGGATGTCACCGAGGAGAACGTGACGAGCGGGCCACCGTTTTCCTCCATATAGTGAAAGTGGTGGGCGCTCTTGCCAAGTGCGGCGAGTTGCAGGCAGCATGCTTGGAGAATGTGAAGGGTATACTCCACAAGGGGAAAGACCAAAAGGACTCTTTCATGCAGCGGCTGGTCACCACTTTACGAAGTGAAATTCCCGAGTTCCTGTGGGATGTCTCTGTGCTTAAAGCAAGGGATTACTGCCTAGCGCAGGATCGAACTCGAGTGTTCCTGAGGGGGATCAGGTCCAGCCTTTGCCCTGCAGGAGAAGTTCCGCCAGTGCTGCCACCCTTTGGCCAAAGAGATCTAAAAGAATTTTTGGCCCCAGGCTTGCCTCCTGTGGACAGAAAGGCTTTGACAAAGTGTATGCAAAAGAACCTGCAGGACGCACAGGAACAGTTGAGACAGCTGCACGCCGAAGGCCAGCTGTCCATGGACGATGTGGTGTGCTACCCACTTGACAGAGCCGATGAGAAAACCTACAAGCGCCAGGTGTGTCAAAACAGAACGCCTACTCTTTTGACTGGCAACTCCTATCTGTTCATTTCCGATGTCAATGTGGATGCTCCAGATGCACAGCGCCAGTGGTTTCGCTTCTTGTTGCCCGAGGAGCGTTTTACATTGCAAGGATTCCCCAGTGAGATCTCCAGCTCTTTCCGCAGCACCGCCCTCAAGGTGAAAGCAGCTGGCAATGCGTACCCAGTGCCTTTGATTGGCGCTGCTGTGGCTGGTTTACTGCAGAAAATCACATCTCTGCCTGACACGCAGGAACCGCTGGAAGACCCCAAGCGCCTCTGCGAACAGCTGGAGGAAGTCATGTATGGTTCGGGAAACAACAAGACAGCTCCAAGCAAGACGTCCAAGATGAAGAGGCCAGCTTCGGGAAGCATGATGGCCAAGGAGAACCCAGCTTCCTCAAGCACCGCGAAGCCGGCTCCTTCAAAGAGAGAAATCAAAAAGAAACCAAGGAGCAGCTTCAAGAAGTTGGAAAAACACAACGAGGAGAAGAAGGATGCCGGGAACCCAGCCGAAGAAGGTCTGAAAAGGCCTGCGTTGCAAGCCCAAAGCAGCAAGCAGGCGCCAAAGAGAAGCCGGACCTCAGCGTGGCGTTTCCGTGGATTTTGGACCTCCTCTTCTGACTCCAGCTGAGCGTTGCCTGTGCAAGGCTAGCCTGCGCAGTGCCAAGCATGAGGCTCGCCCATGCCCCATCCTTACATATCATCGACTTGCAGCGGCTGCAAAATAATGTAGCATTGCGCTCCATTGTTTGCACCCATTTGTGTCCTTGCAACTTTACATCAATTTTGGCAGCATCTTTCCCATTGTTTTTTCACCATCCACGCAATGTTTTACAGCTGTGAAGTGCGAGGCTAATCCCGCAATAAGCTAAACGCCCAAAAGGTTTCACCTTTGGCTTGAGGGGCAAGCCATGGCTGAAGCTCGTTTCGTGGGCATGCTGGATTACTTAGAAGCCTTGCGGCTAAGCAGCTCAAAGTCTGGAAAAGACACCAACGTTGACAAACTGTTCCAAAGTTGCATGCTGGACATACAGAACGCGCCGCCCATGCCTGTCGATGCTGGCGCCCGTCTGCTGAAGAAACTGAACACAGCCCATGTGTCAGACCAATGGCGTGAAGAACTGGCCCAACTTTTGCACGAGAAGGTTGAAGCGGGAGCAGCTAAATTGGCAGCAGAAAAAAAACAAGCGAAGGTGGAGACCCAAAGACCCAGCGATGCTTGGACCTCCACAACTACTTGACCCCCAGTGAATGGTCAGCCTTGAGAAATGAGAAAGAAGGTCTTATGACGAAGTGCAGGGTATTAGCCACAAGAATGGCTCAACTGGGTTTGAAAAACCCAACTGAACCGACTTGGGTTGCGGCAGTTGCAATTCTTTACCTGGCCTCTCACAAAGGGCCTGCCGACGAGCTCCAGTTCAATGCCAAGCAAGCGCTGAGCACTTTGAATACTTTGAAAACTATCCTCAGAGGAATGCAGGCGCACCTTAACTCTGGCTTGAAGTTTTATCCATCTGATCCCTCTGAACTTGCGGAAGATCTTTTCCGCAAAGCTTATTCACAAGAGAAACCAGCACAGTGCCCTTTGGAGGAAGCCGGCTTGCATTTTCTGCGCAAAGTGCTGCCTGCCCGGGACACGCACAGTTCTGTACGCGGGCAATTTGGGAAGCCTGGCTTTTCCAATCACACACCATCGGGCGGCAGCATGGCCGACATGTTTGGCATGATGCAGACATTCATGCCTATGCTTTGCAATCAGTTTGGAGGAGGGAAGGGGTTGGACCTGCAAATGTTTCCACAAAGGAAGAAGAAGAGTTGGGCGGCTGCAGCACCATTGGCGCTGGAGGCCCCTGCAGATTCGCCTGCAGCTGAGACTGCCAAGGTCGAGCCTTCCCCTGGCGAGGAGCCAGCAGCGAGCCCAACAGAGAAGATTGAAGGCGAGAACAGTGCAACACCAAGCCTTGGAGGCTTGGCTTCCAAAGATGTTGATAAAATGGCGCAAGAGGTTCTTGCTGCGCTCGGTGAAAAGAAGGAAAAGAATGGTAAAGCAGCTGCAGCACCGGCCAAGAAAAAAACTCCCAAAAGCAAAGCGAAAGGTCCAAGCAAGAAGGATGAGAAGGATGCAAAAGATGAGGGCCCACCGCCCAAGAAGATGAAGGCAGCCCTTCCTTTTCCTGGAGAAGGTCCTGCCGAACCCTTGCACTACTGCAATGCGACCATTTACATTTGTCCAAACAGCTCTAGCTACCGAGTGAAATTGGCCGGCGAGCGGAAAGACAAATCCTTTTCCTGGAATGCTGGGGCCGAGTGAAGGAGCGCGTGCTCAAAGTCGCAGTGTGAATGCTGAGGCTCGCCCGGCAACATGTGTGAAGGCTCGCCTCACAATGTGTATTGCCGTGGCTCGCCCGGCAAGTGCAGTTTCTGACTTGCATTTGTTGCGCTAAAACGGTTTGCGGCAGCTGTGGCCAGCCCGACCAGCCAACATCATATAATTCTGCCCATTTCTTGGTTGTTCATGGTGGTGCGGTTCTGGTCAATGTCTTTTCTGAACGTGTTAATTGGCTTGATTGCACGGTTCTGGTCAACTCTCATGCGCTCATTTTTGGTCACCCCTCATGCTCTATTTTGGTCGCCCCTCGTGCTCCATTTTGGCAATCCTCGTGCTCAAATTTGCTTGCCCCGATTTCTCGTGGCTAAGTCCAACTAAGTCCTGTTATAAGTACTTGTAAGTCCGGTGCGAGACGCCGAAAGCTAAGTCCTTATAAGTCCAACTATAAGTCAGCTAACAGGCAAAAGTGCCTAAGTAGGCTAAGCCACTGCTTCTTTCGTACACGATCTCCTTCTGTAGTTCCAGGTTCTCCTTCACGATCTTCTTCGCCTCTCAAATCATCTTCTTCAGCTCGATGTGGTAGCGGAGGATTTGGTGCCAGGTCCTGCTCATCGTAGATCTTGTCCAAGGTGCCCAAGGGGTTGTCCTCCATGACAGCTTCAGCTGGAAATGCCACCTTGGTGATGGTACCTTCAAGATCATAAAGAATCCCTTGCAGAATTCCTTCACAAAAAGGACGTGGCCATTCTTGGGCTCGTTTTGTGCGGTTTGATCCCTCGAGAGCTTGATGTTGGTGATCTCCAGGGACATGTTCTGCTTGATGCCCAAACTGGCGGTCATCAGTCCAGTAGGCTTCTTGTTGGGCATACCATTATCTCGGTCCTTGAGGCCGTAAGCACATTGGTCACATTTGATCACCTCCACGATCTCGCCCGTCATAGGGTCGGTGATGTGGTCCTGTAGAACTCGAAGAAGAGCCAGCGAGTCCCACATCTTTGACAGCCATGGTTGCTCAAGCAACACTTGCCGCCCTTTTGCCACTCGGCTTCGGATCACCTGCGAGATCCACTTTACCACCGGGTACCATTCCTTCCTCTGCTCCATGATCTTGTTCGCAGTCTCCTCAGACTTGCTCATGTTGAGCTCTTGCCACTGGCACCAGGGGCCACAGAGCGGTGACATGGAGATGAGGTACGGGTCGTCCTTCTCGATCTGTTGGTCGATCATGTCCCGGTGTTCCTTCTTCCGCAGGTCAGTGCCGTCATACAAAATGTCGACGGGCTGTGAAACAGGGTATCCCATCTCGGCAGCCATGTGAGACAGGATGGCTGCTCCGGCAAAGATCTCCAGTAGCAGCGTGCGGCAGCCTCGAGGCATCAAACGAGGTCTTACGCTTTTGTGTGAGGATCGTAGCAATCCCCACATGTGCTGGTCCCTCTCCTTCACGTCCTGCGCATCCTTCTAATTTGGCCCTTGGTGAAGACGCGCTTGTGCTGATGCATCTCATCCACGGCCATGTGAGTCTCATTGACCAGCTGGATGTCTTCCTCTGGTGGCGGTTCCTCTTGCTCATAGGTCATGTTGTGCTCCTTCTCAAGGTTCTCGGTGTCCTCAAAGTGCTCGGCCACCAGGCCAAGATATCCGGGAATGAGCCGGATTGCCAGAAGTCCATTGCGAGCCACCAAACAAAGATCACTTCCAAGTACGGTGGAGTGTACATTTTGGTGGTTGAGGTCGATCACAAAGCCAAGCTGCTTCTGGCTCTCCACGCTGAGCAAGAGTGGTGCATCGGAGGAGGCAATCTCCAAGGATACCAAAGTTCCTCGGGCAAAATTTCCATTCTTCATCTCGAAGCTCACTTCGAACTCACGTTTCCCAACCAGCTTCATCTGGCCGCCAATTCCCTTCATGCCAGGTACAGAACATGGCTGTAGTGGAGGTTCAGGTGCTCCGGTGGCCTTGAGGTATTGTTTCAACCATTCACTTCCATGACATGTGGCATTGCAGCCAGTGTCCAGGATGGCCACCAAGTTGTCTTCGCTGCCACATCCTTGGTGATGTTGTGCCATGTAGCCATAGTGAGTCGTCTCTGGGATGGCAGCTCCATAGCGATCACGTCCTCCAGCCTGCATGTCCTGGAAGTACTGGGCCAGACGGATCATAGCCTTGGAAGGTTTTCCGGTTTTGACTTCGTCCAAAAGCCAGCGGACATACCCTTGGTCATTCCAAGCTTCATACTGGGTTTGTCCTTTGTAGAGGCCAAAACTGATGGCGCGACGGCCTTCTTGCTGTAGTGAATGAGCATGTGCTGGCGGAGTGGATGGGTCCGGTGTAGGCGGATCGGTCCAGATGGCCTGTGATGTCGGTGTCCTGGTAGGCAATGACGGAGTTTGAGTTCCTGAGCCTGCCGGTTCCGTAGGAGTGTAGTCCTGACCTTCATGTGCTGGTCGGCCGAGGACGATGTTCTCACACATCCGGAGAAGGTCAGTCAATTCGTGATCGGTGAGAGTGAATCCTGCTCCTTGTCCTTCTGACTTGAGGTCCAGGGAGTGGTTGAAGAGTCCACGGACACGAAGAATCTCCTCAGAAGTCATCTCCCGGCTTGAGGTTGTCGGCCGGGTCGTCGAAGAGGTCTCATTGGAGGCCGTTGACGATGATGATCCCTTGCCGGAACTCTTTCCTCCATTCACAGGTCCGCTGCGGACTTCTCCACATTGAAGACATGTGCGCTTCCAGCGAAAGCCATTGGTGCCATGCCAACTCACTCGATGATGGTTGCATCCTGGCGCAGAGGATGTCTCCGAGGTCATAGACCGGGAATCAGCTGATCCCACAGGGGTGCGCTCCAAGATAGTGCCACAGTCTTTGCACTTCTTGATCTTGTAAAAGGCGTTGGATCCCTGTCCGGTCACGTTGTAGTGAAGGCATGCAGGCTTCTTGTTCGTCGGCTTAGTCTGCGCCGATGCTGGCGAGACCTGTGAGGGTGAGGTCTCATGGCTGGTCCACTGAACTGGTTCTCGATGTGGTCGAGGATCAGGTTCTTGTGGTCGTGCTGCACGCGCTTGAACTTCAGCAGGTGGTTCCGATAGTGTATTCGAGGAAGTTGGGCCTTCAATGGACAGAACTTCTCCTCGGTCTTCACGATATTCAGATACTCCCAAAGCAGAAACCAGCATCATCATGTCGAGGTCCTCCTGCGACACTGATTGTCCTTCTCGCACGTGGGATGATGCAACCAAAGACCATTTGTCTTCCTCCTCAGGTGAACTCACGATCTCGCCCTGCTGCAACTCCGTGGGAGGCGGTACTGCTCCAAAGATGTTGAAGGGTCTGCGGTAGGCCATGAGAGCGGTTTGCTCTTCGGCGGTCTCATTCTCCCGAACGGCGAAGAACACAGTGCGAGGCTTCGCATCTCCAGATCCTTTGCCCTTTCCAGATCCTTTTGGCGATTTGCCTTTTCCTTTGCTTTTCGGGCAGCTAGCATCTCCACTCCAATGTCCCACCTGTCCGCATCGTCGGCAAGTGGTGCGGGACTTCAGGTTCTGAATCTTCTGCTGCCGTTCCTGGAGCGTCAGCTGTCCTGAGACATCAAATGCTCGGCCGCTGGAACCAGAGGATTTTCCTTTTCCTTTATTGTGGAAGCCCTTGATGCCCTTCTCCTTGGCACGTTCACGTGCAAAGTAGGCTTCCTGTTCCGCCTGGATGATGTCGGCCCCATACTCCATGGCTTCCTCATCGTTCAGATCAAGTCCTTGATCGGCCAACATGGACAAAAGTGTCCCTTCATCCATCTCCTCGCCGAGGTCGTTATCCTGCCAGTCGTAGTTCTCCTCATAGGCGTAGTGCGGTTGCTCGGACTGGTAGGCGTTGAGGTCGTCGTACGGGTCGTGCTCATACTCCTCGGCTGGGTACTCTTCAGAGAAGTAGCCCATTCCATGTCCACCTCCTTTTCCTCGATGACGCCAACCTGAGCCTTTTGGCCGCTCAAAACCAATGCTGCGCCCTCGATGTTCTCGTTCGTGCAATCGAGAGTGCTGGGCGATGAGCTCGGACTGGATGCCGGCCATGGTGATCTTTCCACCCAAAGCTGATCTGATCAGCAGGACCTGTTGGTCAGTCAAGCCTGCATTGACCAGAACTTGTTCAGCCAAGATCACTTCCGGCAACTTCAGCTCCTTGTCCAGGTCAGTCAAAACCTGGTGCCAGGCCTGTCGACGGACCAAATGGGTCGACATCGGCTCGGTGGCTTGGCGGCTAAGGATGCCGCCCTCGCAGGCGCCGGCCGCGTAGAGCTCGCGGGCCTCCTGGGTCCTCCTTGGCTTCAATGAAGTAGCCAGGGCATCGAGCAGCTTTTCCGCGCCCTCCTTGCTGGTGAGAACAGAGTTGGGCCATCTGCTGGGCGACACGTAGAGCGGGGCCTGAGAGCTGCTCCACTAGGCGGAGCCCCAGTGGTCCTTGTTTCTTCACCTCGCCAGGATCCATCTCAGCCTCTCGTGCCATGCGGGCACGAACCCGCCAGGTGTATTCACCTAGCCTGGTCGCTTCTCCATTGAAGCGAGGGATGCCACCAGCATTCTTGCCCTCGGTGCTGTTCTGCGTCTCCTCCTCCTTGATGAAGTTGACATACCGGAAGGTGTCGAGAAGCGCCATGGGTGAGCACAGCGCGCAAACCGTGGCCGCTAGGGCCGTGACGAAAAGGGTCGGGACCGGGGTCCCTGGGAGCCTTGGTAGCTCCGCTACCAGTGTGGAAATGAATCCAGCACTGGCAGCAAACATCATAGCGCTCTTTTCTTGAGCCAATCGCGAGAGCGAAAGTCGGGTGCAGTCTCCTCAAGCTGGTCAGGTCCATGAGCAATCCGGGTCAGTGCATGACATGTTCCTGGTTTCACCTTCGTTTTCACATCTAGCAATGCTGCAATACAAAAACATTAAAAAAACCATCGAGGATCAAAGCAAGAACTGCAAAGTCAAAAGTAAGAGTGGAAAATTGTGCTATCGTAGTAGTGGTAGTTGTCGTAATCATGATATTTATGATAATACCGTGGTGGTGGTGGTGGTAGTAGTATTAGTAGTAGTAGAAGCAGTGGCAGCAGTAGAAGTAGTAGGACTAGTTGTTTTAGTGGTAGTGCTGGTGGTATAAGTTATAAGTACGAATGGTAGCAGCAGCAGCAGCAGTAGTACTAGTAGTGGTGGTGGTGGTGGTAGTAGTAGTAGTGGCCAGTGCTAGCAGTAGAAGTAGTCCCAGCAGCAGCAGCAGCAGCAGAGTTGTAGTAGTAGTAGTCGTCGTCGTCGTCGTAGTAGTCGTAGAAGTGGTAGTAGTGGTAGTAGTGGTAGTAGTAGTAGTCGTCGTCGTAGTGGTGGTAGTAGTAGTAGTAGTGGTGGTAGTAGTAGTAGTATATAGCCTTCTCTAAATGTTCCCCTCACATGGCTCACAAAAAGGTATTTTCTTCGCTGGAATGGTCTTTCCTCCTCTAAAGTTTGCTCTTGGATGAAATGTATGCTACGTTGGAATGGCTCTTTCCTTTTCGATTCTCTTTTTCTCGGGTCGCTTACGAAAGGTATGCTACGTTGGGATAGCCCTTTCCTCCACCAGATTTTACCCTCGGGTGGCTCAAAAAAGGTATGTTACCTTTCAATGGCTCCTGCCTCCTCTAAATGTTACCCTCGATTGGGTCGCAATTAGTACATTCTGACTTCCCCCCGAGGTCTACTTCGTTCGCAGAAACTAAATAGCCTATCTGATCGTTCTTGCTTCCTTCCTTCCTTCCTTCCTTTCTTTCTGTTCTTTGTTCTGTTTTTTCCTTTCTGTCCTCGTTGTTCGTTTTTGTTTGATCCCTATATGTGTGTTTCTTTGATGCCTCTCCCCTCATACGAAGCATGTTGTCCCTATGACGTGAACAAATCCGCAGTCAAATCTGGTCACATGCAAAAGGGAATACAAATACTAAAAACGTGTGTGTGTGTGTTTCTTGGAATGGATATGGCAAAACATTCGTATCTTACTTAATTACTTATTGCTAGAAGTCGTGCATTATTTGTTGTTAGTGCATACCTGCTCATCTAGTAGAACAGGAGTTTTGTGTAGGGCTTGTCCCGGCGGGCTAGGCTATTCATGGAATCATGGAATGGAAAGGATCTTTGAACCAATTGAACAAGCCCCAGCAAAAGTCAGGATGACTTTGCATCCCCGTTTGAGAGGTCAAAGGTGATATTATGATGTAGTTATACAAACATGTGTACTGTATGACTGTATATAATATATATATATATATAGATATGTGTGTGTGGCCACCCCTTGCGATTGACCATCAATGCTCCATCATGGTGCTTCGGTTGCCCTGCTCCATTCCATGACTTATGTAAATCATAACTTCATAACGCTTGAAGCCGCTTAATCCAATCCCCTGGCGCTTTACAATCTTTACATCTTCCCTACAAGTATCCTTCAAAGACTTCCGGTTTTCTCTGCCACCAACCAAGGCTCTGAAGCCAGAAGTGGATCAACGTCCACACCGTGTAGCTGACCCCCAAGACCCCGATCCAACCCATCTTGTTCCAGCCATATGGGAAGCGACCCATGAAGAAGCTCAGGTTCCTCGAACCAAGTCGGGAGGACAGTTGGGACTGATACAGGGGAAATTCAAATGAATTTGATTGAATTTGACTCTTTTTTCTCTTCGAAGGCGTTGGTCCCTTCCTTTCTCTGGAAGAGTTGTGAAATCTTTTCGGGAGCGAGTCGACTTCTTCTTTTTGAAATGAGGTAGGTTCTGAACAGCACGCACACACACACAGTTCTGGATCTGGATCCTTGGAAACAACCATTGGAACTTTAACCATCAAACAAAAACACACAGGGAGTGTACGTGTGTTTGTCTAGCATCAACAGCTCAGTCACATATGCAGGTCTAGGTCTAGCCATGGCCATGTTTGGTTATCACCGTGATGGCACATGCATGGCAAGGGGTAATATTGTGAATACGTGGAGTGCCATGTCAAACACTGAACAAATAACATGTTAAACAATATTCATATTATCTGTAACAATCTGTAACATGTGTTCCATGTTGAGAGCACAACAAAGATCAACCACTGTCGGAGTGCCATCTGTCTGCCATCAAATCCTGAGACCGACACTTGGCACATGGCGGGGCCACTCCAACATGAAAACCAAGTGACTCAAGTCACAACGAATTGACTTACAATCAAGAATGATGTGCCTCCATCTGCACAAGGGCATCAAAACATCTCCCCATCGGCCATGCTTCAGCAGAATCACGTCTCCCCCATGAATGAAAAGGCTCACATAAGGCGGTGGCCTCCGACATGTCGGCCCGCGCGCGAGGATGCCGTCCCAATCTTGCTTAGTGATATTGGTGGATAGAGAAGTCAATGGAATTCAACAGAATAAGGTAGTGATCCCCAGGTTCATGGGAGCGCCGACCCCGCGACCCCACCATGGAGATAGGCTATCGAAAATTGGGAAACAGGTGCACGCAAGTGTTCATCAGCTTTGACTTTGTTTTAGACGCGATTCCTTTTTGGATAGCTTCAACGAAACCTATGTTGAGTTCGGCACTTCCATTCTGGGCTGCTGGCCGAAAATTATGGTTCATTGGGAAACACCCAGAGGTATTGAATCTATTCCTAATATCACTAGATATGGACTCCTCTGGTAGCACTAGTTTGTGTTGCACTTGTGGGCAACCTGATTGTTCCTTCTACGGTCATACGGCTGTTGATGTCCTCCAAACTGAACTTCTCAAAAGTTGTCAAGGGTCGATGTGAACTTGCCTGCCTTGTATTGTCAGTTCCTCACAGACAAGAAGATGAAGGGCTTCATGTCACCACAGTATAAGAGGAATTACAGTAGCATGTTTTAGAGTCGACTCCTCCGGTGCAGCAGTTGCTTTTGTGACTAGAAAAAAACTCCGAACTCACCCCAGAACTCTTTGACATGTCTTAACCATTGGATGCCGACGTCACCTTCTGGTTCCCACGTTGCCCAGCACCGACCAATGCGATGACAAAGTGCTGACCGAGGCACCAGTAGGGTGTCAAAGCGTAGTACAAACCTGCTGACAAAAGCACCGAGGGCAGCACCATTGAAAGTAGAGCAATGTAAACCTTGGCAGCATTTCTGAAGCGGTCATTTTTTGTGTGGAAAGCCAAGCAGCTATACTTGCGGGTTTGGAGAATTAGATCAAGCGCCACCTCAAATATTGCGATGGTCTGAACTCTGCGGTTGCCAAATACACTTATATGAGCTGTGCTGGAAACCTTGATAGGTTCCTATGTCGTAAGAGGGTGCTTACGCAACACATAGGTTTTTCTTACGCGCTCCACAGGTTTTCTTACGCGGCATGTGCGGGGAAGTGGGTGCTTACGCCACCCTTACGCAGCCAGACTTCGCAGACTTTTTGCGAATCTGCTGGGAACATGCTTACGCGACGTGCTTTGTACAATGATAGGGCTTCAAGAGTTACTACTTGCAGAAGCATGCGATCCTTCCCGCAGTGGCACGGGCTCAAGCAAGCGCGTTTTCACCAAGGCCGCGCAAAACCGCATGGCGCAGCGACATCACAAACGTCATTTGGCCACACGGTGTGCCACAGACTAGACACAACAGTGCACCACCAAGCCTCATGGACACCGCCAAGAGTCCAAGAGTGTTGGCTTTCGGGCCAGTGTTGGCAAAAGGCTTTGAACCATGTGGGCTACTACTCACTGACGCGCATGAGACTTACGCGCTGCCTACGCGGAGCTTACGCGCGCCTTACGCGGAACGTGCCGTGACTCTCCTCGATCTTTGTGAGGTTCCTGTTTCTAGTAAACACAGCAGACCTCCTCAACAAAATCTGTTCTCACATCAAATGCAAACCAGCAGATACAAAAAAGCTTACGCGGCACAAAAAGCTTACGCAACCTTGCACAGTGCAGTGCTTTCCTTACGCCCCGAGCTCTTATGACAAGACCCTTGCTCATTACAAGCAAGTGGGTTTATGGCATGGCTCATATGTATACGATACAGTAATTAATATGGTTAAAGGGCAAGGTACCACCAAAAATCAAACCACCTCAAGTGGCGCAGGATGCTGTTCGTCAACAAATGTTGCAACATGTTGGAACATGTCAGGTTTCATGATGTCCTTGCACGGACCAGCCTTCGGAGAGTATGTAGTTTACAAGGGCCATGGTGCGAGTCGTCAGAATCAGCATCGGTATATTATATATATAATATAGTCCAATATAGTCCAAACATATTCCCCTAGCATCGAAGGTCTGAAGAGCCCAAATGAGACAGAATCCTCTTGAACAAGAATCTTTATATACCTAGCTTTTGGTGAAACTTAAGGAACAGTTGATAGTCATGTGGCCAGAAACATCAGATACTACAGGGACCAGGAGTGAATCTCAACACGCCCCCAAACCCCTGTCCCTAGTGGCTGAACCAAAACAACAAATGAGTCATGGATGGTCAATGGGGAGAACATGGGAGAACCATTCCCAGCATAGGCACTTCGAAAAGCTTCCGGTGCCGCCGCGTGTCCCGCCTTCACGAGGACCGGCACTTCCGGCGGGTTCGGGGCATTGGACGAAAGCCGCTGCGAAGCCCAAAGGACGACGCTGAAGGAAAGCACCTGTTCGATGACTTCCAGGGTGGTGACCCAACCTGAGTTGACCCAAATACTGAGGCAATATATGATCACAGAGTTGCATAAGCCACTAGGAAGCATGGAATCAAAGCAACAAGAAACACATGTATAGAACTTTTTTCTCAGCGAATCTGCAGAACCCCATGCATAAGGCTGTGTGCAGACTTCCGCTGGTCAACCAGTGGTCACCTGCTAACTGGCCAACCTCGAGGGCTACTTCTCCAGCAACATGCCAGAATCTCATGTTGGCTGCATATTAACTATGGGATGCTATGGGAAGTAGCGCATGGCTCAAAGCAACGAAGATTCTTCATATATTCTACGTATATAGAACATATATTTCTATATCACTATATATATATATATCTATATATGTGTATATATATATATATCATGTAATATATAATAGTTATTACCAATTACTGTTTCTGCAACTCATTATATGCTGTATATGATTCCTCACTCATCTTCACGCTTTCGGCCAATCCCAGCCACGCGAGAAGTAGATCCAGTACATGAGGCCCTCTTCTTCAAAATACTCGAGCAGGTGTGCAATGAAGTGTCCAATAAAGAGAAGCATGATGATGGCCCTGAAAATGATGTAAGACTGGGTGCTCATGTACGGCGATGTAGCAAGGGCCTGCAGCAACAAGCCATGTGTTCGATTCGACAAGACCCAACGGCTGTTCCGATCACGGTCGAAGGCAATGAACCTCCCTCAGTGAATGCCTCTTTCTCTGGGATCGCTGGCACCTGCCGCGGAGGAACCCTAAACTGCACCCAAAGATTAAATTTTGCCAGGCCAATGGTCCAATTGTGGACCAACCAATGCAGGAGCTCCAAAAAGATCTAAAAAGACTCTCCGTCCGGAACTGGTGTTGAGAACGGAAACCGCTTGGCCAAGTGAACCGGCATGTCTCGTTCCCGAGAAACCAGTCCCGTGTTTATGAATGAAATGGCTGACATCATCTGAAAACATCGGATCATCACATTGTGGGATTCTATAAAGGCTCGTATCATCGAAAACGTTGAAGAATGATGAAAATCACGTCATACCCAAGCATTCCAAAGGGCGTCAAGCTGCAAAACTACCCTGCAAAGGAAAAACTCACTTGGGTACCGAAGGTAGACTCAGTACAGGTCTCGCGGGTTCACGTCTTGGACCAATGTTTGATCGTTCTAGATACCCATAGATCGCCAAGTGTTTGCACCATGTGTTTACACATGTTCATGCTCGTTGTTAATATGCTGCGAGATGCTGCAAGTGTATGACAACATTCAACATTAATTGACCATTCCCATCGTTACCCACCCTCTTCTCTTTTCCCGGGAAGCACTGAAACATACTGAAACAGTGCCAACAAATCTGTGCTTCTCCCCTGTTGTGGTCGTCGGGTCGGCCTTTGGCCAGTCGCCTGGCAGCCATGGCTCCACATCAGAAGATAAAATCATTGCGTTCAACGCACAAAGCACCAAGGAGCACTAAGGAGCACGAGCTAAGAGACACTTTGAGCCGTTCCTCCTGCAGAATTTGAGCACAGAATGCTGTGTGCAGTTCTGGTTAGTGCATGGATTCATTTTGCTAGTGTATCCTCATCACTCCTACACAAGGGGTCCCTCCAAAACCTTGGGTTGCCACTAACCTCCTGCGCAGTTCCACCTGCGTGCGGAGCTTGTCGAGCATCTTGAGCAGGGTCTCATAGTCCGTGATGGTGTTCGCGAAGTCGTCGATCTTCCTAAGCACCCAACAAACCATGAGTCAAAGCTAGATGATGAGTGCTCCACATGCTCTACTGGTTCTTTGGGGGTCCTTCCAGTTCGGAAGACGTGGACCACATCAGCTAACATCAGCTATCCAGCCACATCCCATGAGCCTCAGGGATCTTGGGTCATAGAAAATGAGTCCGCCCGATCACGATCTGATGTATGTTGGCCAGACTCACATCACCGCTTGGGGTCTGCACTGATCGCCATTCCTTCGGAGATGTCAACTGAAAGGTGGATTGTGAAGAATAACTTAACTGTTCGCCAAAAGGACAAGGGATTGAAATCATTGCAGGTTTGGTGAGTACCCTTGAAGCATCATGAAGCCAAAGCTTTAGACAACTTGGCCTTCCCCCATTGTCTGGTCTCAAACAGGGACCCTGGCCTGAACCACTTTTGGGGGGCTGTGCTTGCCAGGGGTTGATTGAGCTCAGACGACTGTTTCTTTTGGTACATCGGGTACGTGCCGAAACCCCTTTAGCCTTAGCACCTTTTCAAGTGGGGTGGCTGAGCTCTCCAACCTACTAGCAATGGCCTCCAACCTTCTCAAGTGGGGTGGCCACATGCCTTTTCCATGCTCTATTCGCCCAAACAAACCTTCACTGCTCGTTGGAACGAGCACAAAGGGTCTTCCTGATTCCTGATTCCACTGGAAGGTACAGGACCTTGGCTTTTTACAGAAGTTGGGATTCCGCTCTAGCGATTTGTTAAGTTTTCTGCAACCTCCGCTCGTGGGCCTAGTAATATGAATTGCATATATGGATTAAATATACTATAGTTGTATCAACTATACAGTATTATACAACAACTGGATACAAGTGGATGGAATAACTTGACCACAATGGTTCTCGAGGCTGCATACCGCTCTTTCTTTGTCACACCAAGTGTCATGTGGTTCTTCATCACTTTGATCTGTTCGAGCATCTGCTCATTCTTCTTATCGGTGTGAGACCGGACGACTCGTCGCTGTGTCACTCCTGCCACACGTCATGTGGGTCTACAAAAGTCAGCTGGTGACAGCCAAGCGTGAAAGCTTTCCGAACTTAAAGAAAGCTTTGCAGGGTAGCCCGACTTCAAGTTGCGGCGCCCAACTTTTGCTGAGTGAGCAACATCAGCAACATCCCTTTGGTGAAACAACAATCACCATCGTGGCTCTATGACATCTATGGCCTTTGAGGACCCCTGGGTTGCCTTTCCTTCTTCCAGATCTCCAAGAACATACAGTACTTCCTTTATCTTCCACTTCCAGTCTCTGTTCGTCTGAAAAAACGACGCCTCTTCTGCCACTCTCCATCTGTCGTGACCTGCCTTCGTCCTCACTGGAGGAGGCCTCCGCCCAGCGCGCCATCTTCCGTGGCGCTGCGGCGGTGACCACGGGCCGCTCCTCGTGGCGCGAACGACAATGGCTCCGGGATGCTGCTGCTCACCGGAGAGGCGCCAGCATCTATATGCCACCGGATGCCATCGGTCAGACTTTTCCAAGAATTGTTTCAACATAGTTAAATTAAAGAATGTTTGGTATAGCTGCACTTTGTAAATTGTACAATGCACATCAATGTACAGTTGATACAGCTTAACATATTGTTAAACTTGTTGCGCTTTGTTTGCAATTTTGATCCATTTTTTGGGCTACTCTGGAACCATGTGGAACGTTGGACCGTCCAAAAGAAACTTCCAGGTGGCCACGCCATCCCCCACGCCACGCCGCCACGCCCAGGGCAGGTCTCCTCCTCGCTGTCGGAAGATCCCGAGTCCGAGTCCGAAGAGGAGGAGCTGGCGCCGCCGCCCCAAAACCTCAGCGGGCGCTGTGGTTTAGGGAGGCTGGGCAGAAAGATCCAGGAGGCACCCAGTGCTCTGAACAATATACCTGGAAGGTGAGTATTATATAGCATATACATGTATATTATATATTATTGTATGGTGAGATCTTGTGAAATCCATGTACAAATCTGCAGGTTTGTATGCTTGGAGACTAGATCCCTTGCAAAGCACTTACAGTGCCCAGTCCAACGCCTTTAGAAACTCAGAAGTCATCTGCGTGGGAATGCTATCCCCTGCAACCAAATGCTTCCGAGGTGCTTATTTCCTGCCATGGCTGCAACCAAAACTCTGTAGGTATTGTGTCAAGTGATCCACCTACTTAAGCTACCGGTTTCTTGGCCGGTTTCTTCGCTGCCGGAAATGACCGGCGCGCGATCTTGAGCCAATGAATGGTTCACTGAAAGCACAAAAACGCATGGACGAGTGAAAGGATACAATGCTAGTGATACTGAGTGAATGTGCAAGGACGAGTACTGTAAGCCGTTGGAGAGCACAATGTGCCTTGTGGGCTAAGCACTTGTGCCACACGTGGCCAATTGCCTTTATTGTGAGTGTGCTATGGCAACAAGCATGAAAGCTGAAGAGCGAAAGCTGAATAGCAACCAAATAGTTGAAGGGCCGAAGGATTCGATGGATTTTCTTGTAGGGGGATGTCTTTCATCAAGGCCTGTCTTCGGGGGTCTCGGCCAAAAAGGGCGAAAACACGAAAGAGTCTTCGCGCGTGGGAGATCGGAGTCTCGTCTTCGTCTTCGCCGGGCTGGTCTGATCTTTGTACACGTCCGGCTTGCTGAACAGGGTGTGAGATGTAACATATTGGATGTGGATGGGATATTCATGTGGAAGGTGAATGGGTAGAACCAAAACATGAGACGCGTATGAATACCATAAGTGAGTGGTCTTGTCTGTGATCCTTCTAAACAAAATGGATACATTTCAAATGGTCCACTAGTTTTGACTTCGATTGTGGGTAAGCAATATGTCAGACACATTGCAATCATGAGAAGTTCTACCGAACTGCCGGTGATCTTCTCGCAAGGTGATCGATTACGGTCAAAGTACTCACCAACAGTCCTCTGGCGAGGTTTGCAACAACAAACAATGATAACTGGGCCCCATGTTCAGCGCCCCAGACTCGTCCAGCTTCGCAGCCAAACATTGCTGAACTACACCCTAAAGATGCCCGAAACTCGCAAATCACCATAAAAATATACAGCTCTGCAACGGCATTTGAAGTGAAACAAATCAGGTTCTCTGAAAAAGAAACACAGTGCCATCATGTGACATTTCATAAAGTCTGGCTCTCCCAGGATTCTTTCAAGCATCCTCCGTGCCGAGAAGGCGTCCGCTCGGCGTCCGTCCCGTCTCCTCGGCGCCTCGGGTCTCTCGTCTCCCGTCGCGCGGGTCCACGCGTCGCGCGGGTCGGGCGGCGTCGGACGGCCCCGGGGGGAGTTTGAGTGTTGCTTCTTTTTGGTGTTCGACCCATAGGGCAGCCGCTTTCCCGTAGGCCCAAGCAACGTTGGTTCCGATCTGAAAGTCATCAGCCATCAGCTGTCCAGCCACTCGACCTGCGCAAGTTTTTTTTGCTGAAGCTCTTGCCTCCCATCTCCCTTGAACCTCCTATCCCGCAGCCAATCGGAAGGCCAGTGTAAGATTATTTTCCCGGAGATCATCACCATACAGCTGGCCACCGGGCTCTTTGAAAGCCAGAAAGCCATCTCCCTTTCTACCCGCGCGCCAGATGGGTTTAGCCACAGCAGTCTCCAAAACGCTCAGGCATCCGTGTCCGGTATGCTGTTCAACAGCGGCAGCTCCGACTCCTTCGGATTTCAAAAAAAAAAACATCGTCTCAGTGTGGAATTCACATGGGGGAAAACGCAATTCACATGTCTCTCTGGACCAATACAAGAACAGGGAAAAACAAATTGTTGTTTTGCTTCAAGCTACTAGTAGTAATGCCCTTGCTACTAGTAGCGATGCCCTTGTTACTAGTAGCTTCTAGCTATTAGTAGCGATGCACTTGCTTTCCTTCAAGCCTTTCTGCCCAACATCTTTGAGTCCAAACCCCACGCTCCGCATCGAGTTCTGCATGCGAGTGCATGAGTTGCATGAGTTTCTGAAAATGTTCCCACCAGAACAGCGCCAACGTTTTCGAGTGATGAAACTGCAGCTGGTTAATTAACGTGAACAGGTGGGACTGATTGGGACTGTCCTTTTTTTAACGCCTTTCCAAAGGGAGAGGCTCTTCCCCCACTCTCAAACAGTGTATTTTGAAAGAACATCCCGCAAAGGAATAGGTCAGGTACAATCTACTCCCAAACACGCATAATATATGATACAATACATTACGATACGTCATATATATAATATGATATATGATATATGATATGTATATATAGTTATATATACATGATTATATATGATAATCCTTCATGGATGAAGGGGGACCTGTCTCCTTGGAAAAGTGCTGCTAAGCCTCCAATCGCGGGCTTCACCTGTTTCAATTAGGCGACGCATGTGACTCCCAAGAAGAAACTGCTCTGTCAATAAATTCTGAACAAGTTCAAATGCTCTGTACACCAAGAAGGATACAGGATGATACAGGATATACGATGCGCATAGGCATGCATAGGCAAACAAGAACAATGAGAGCCCTCAGCCCCCCAAACCCTTCGCAAGAAATCTCTTTTCGCTGACGGAGCTTCCAAAACACAGGCTTCGTCTCAGCCAAAGCACATGCGGAAGATTGCTGAGATAGTATGGGCAGTATGGAAGAAAGAGGACGCTATTCGGAGGAGGCCATCCCTACTAGTAGCAAGAAACTACTAGGTTGGAGGCCATCGCTATTTGTAACAAGAAGCCAGTAGTAACAAATAAACAACACAGAGTTGACTCTTCTGGGCACCTCAGCACCGGCAAGTCGTGACTGGGACAAGAAGTTGGTTTGACACCTGATCTCGGTTTGAGGTGCAAGGCAAACCCGCATCACCAAACCTTTGGGCTGGATGTGGGAAAAATGCGGCAGCAGGGTTTTCCAAAGGTTGAGTATACAAGTATGGGGTATACATGGTATTTATGTGTTTTCAAACAAGAACAAGTATCCAAAGACTTCCAAAGTGTCTTTTTGCCGAAAAAACAAAACAAGCACCGCTGGTTGATTGAGCGAAACATCTCCCCATTGGGTCGATTAGACTGAGCCGATGCCTCGCTGGTTCTGATGGCAACCACGGCGGCACGCGGCCGCTGGTGGAAGCGATCGAAATGGAATCTATGGAGACCTGCCATACCAACCTGGGTATGGAGACCTGCCATACCAACCTGGGATAGACAGATTTGAATACCAACCTGCCTGTCTGTATGCCAGGAAGGTGTGGCAATATGTGGTCCAACACGGTCCCAACCTATCGCAGCTATCGCATACCTATCGGGTCTGTCGATACGGCGTGCTCATCCGCATCGGCGAGCAGCTCACAAGGAAGTCGGGCCATTCCACCTGAGATGTCGTCGTGGAGTTCATGAGTGTGTCGCACAAGCCTGGAAACAAAAGAAATTTTCGCCCGTGCCTGACAATGGACGAAAAGGCATGCAAACTTCATGTGTTTCACCTATTGTTCTTTTGCCTGGTCTGGGTCCATGTGGTGCAGATTGTCGCCAATAGGCCCATATCATATATATATATATAGTCACACAGTCCTTATGACAAGCATCTCCTGCACACGGCACTCTGAATCAAAGCTGTCTGGTCCAAACAGTGTCGGGTTCGCCTGCCCCACTCGAATCAGCTTGCTGTTGATCCATCAAGGATGTGTATGAGAGTCCTGCTCCCAAACGAACCCCGTTAGAAACAACCAATGGTCTTGAGGGCTCGCGGAGCCATCTGGACCCTACAGCCCAACAGGGTGTTGTTGTGACAACTATTGAAGGGAGGACACTACTTGCGTAACCTATGACAAGCACATGAGTTCACTTGGAAACCCTCGGGCATTGTGATGTGACATAGGGTTGCGTGGCCTTCAGATGGCAGGACCGCACGCCGACCAGGCAACAAGTCCTTGATGGCGCCCACTGTCACCCACTCGCGCTTAGTCTGGCACAGCCAAACTCTGAGGAATGGACGTACCCCAGGTACCATCTTCTCGTTTGGTGTAGGCCCAGGTCTCATCATACCTGACCCCGAGCAGACAGCAGCTGCTGTAGCAGCTGTGCAATTGTGTGCCCTTGCTCAAACGCTCAGAGGTGTTTGGAGAGAAAACACCCTGGGCAGGTCAAGTGATATGTCATCCACGTGCTCCACTTCAAAGGAAGAAACACGCCTTCCAAAAAAGGGAGCCATCATGTTCCATGGCAAATCGCTTGAACAACTGAGGATCTAAGGACACCCACCGACACGGACACCGTGGACACCGGACACCGGACACGATCCCATCATCCGCTCCGGCGCACTTGATCTTCTCCACGGCTTCGGCGATGTCCGGCCACTCCAGGCAAGTCCGGTCCTCATCGGAGATGACTCTGACATTTCATCGACGACCTCTTTCTTTGTTCGTCCTTACGACGTGATGATCGTCGTGAACCCATGATCAGTGATCGTCAACGTTGTGCCAAGGAACTGAACATTCTGTTGAATGCGGTACTGTATCAAAGCTGCAGCTCATCCGTGCTTGAGGTGATGCTCAAATGGTTTCTCTCTTTCTTTCGGATCTTAGGAAGATCCTACACAAGTGGACCTGATGGGGAAATGGGGGCCTTAAGTAAGTGAGGAAGGACGCTACTAGGGGCTCCTGGCATCGCTACTAGGAGCAAGGACGCTACTAGGGGCTCCTGGGATGTGGTTCCATTGTTTCTGATATCGGTATGGCATATGGCACCCCCGGCTGAGTACGAGTTCATGATTGGTCAAGGGTTCGGTTTGACCCCATGCCTAGCAGCCTTAGAAGCCAGAGTGGTTCTTCCAACACCGGCTTACATTATGTTTGAGCTGGCCAAAGTCATGCCCTTGTGTTCCAAAGTCATGCCCTTCCATTGACTTGTCTTGAAACGCAAACACACTGGAAGCCTCTTGTTCAACCCCACCCCATGCTGCAAAAGTGGGTTAATTGTGATTCGTTGTTATATGATGTTATGACTATAAAAACTATCGACCTGTGTGTGTGACTACATATATGACTGACTATGACTGACTCAGCTGTCCCACCGTTGCAAAGGCGAGGGTGTTTTGCCTTCGCTCCCTACCGATCCCAATTGCCTCCATCTCCTTGATCAAGACCTTCACCTCACACGAGACGCAGGCTTTGTCGGCTTTGTCACGCAGCAATTGGACACAGCCAGAAACGGAAGACTCTGGGCAGCCAAGACAACGTCTGCCAACCGCTACCACCACAGCAACCATTCAGTTCGTGTAAGATCTACACAAGTATGACCACTGGAATCCCCGTGCAGGATCCTGCCAAAGTATCACATCACTCTTCTATGGAAACTGTAATGCTCCGACTCACTACTGTAACTAACATGGAAGTGGAAAACCCATGAGAGCCGAGGCCCCCTGTAGTATTCCAAGGGACCATTTTCCCACTTCCATCTTAGTCAGAGTGTAAGTGTATTCCATCGCCGTGTGCTTCTCTCTACATCTTCACACGCGGCCTCTGCAACATCCGCGTTGGCCACATCAACCAGGCGAGCACAAAAGCTCTTCCTGCCGTCCACAGCACACGATGTACGTCGTGTGCAAGAGAACGGGGATTTGTCACATAGGACGGGAATGTAAACGAGAGTGCAAGTTAATTCACGTTAATTATGGCACTCTACTCAAGGGGTTTTATTGATGTTGATTATGTAATGTTGGATGATTTGTGGAAGATGTTGGACCAGTAGGGTAGAACAACCCGAGACATGATATATATATATATGTGTATAGAAACACCTCCGGCTGGAAGTGTATTCGAGTAGATCAAACGTTTTCCTCACTACAGTAACTACCTGTCTCACATTGACAAACATGACTGATCATGACTGCTTTGCTTGCGGGATGTGAGTTATAGAATGTTCCAGTACTGATCCAATGCTTGATCAGGGGCCTTGGACCCACACCCTGGTGTATCCTCACCCAAGAGACTGTGAATTCTCTGTAGCTCCGAGTAGCTCCGTCCATCACACACTCAGAAACATGCCCCGAACGTAGACAACATCCCACATCACATTGCCAGGATGTTGGCTTCAGTCCCCACATGAGGCTTCCCGCTGCACAAACGGAGACGCCTGGCCATGTTATCCCACGAGGTTCGATAGCCATGCTGCCAAGCGATCGGATTCCACCTGAGCCCGCGAAGAAAGGCTTCGAAGGTTAGGGGTCACTGTCACCAGCTTGGTAGTTGCCTTATGTTGCCTTGGGATATTTATCTGCTGCTTCCCATGGTTGCTTATCCCGAATCCCAAACAAGCTTCCAGGACCTCCTCAATGGCTTTGCACAATAAATTATCTGGTGTGTATATATAATTGTAGTGAACAATAAAATTATACAGTTGCAATTTGAAATGATGTCTTTGCTGTGGCTGCCAGCTCTGACAAACTTACAGCCTAGGTGTGAGACGCCGCGAGAACCTAAAACAGCTCGGTCTCTCCAATGGAGATACCATTGAACTCCTTGCGCATCCAGCATAGTACAACTGCTGCTGTTTGGCGAAACTGGTAGGTGGTTCATCACAGGGGCCTTCAAATCATACATCATGGAGAAAGTTGGGACAGTTGGGACACAGGCGCTTACCTGTGTCTCTTCACATGGATTCTCTACTCAGAGCAAGTGATTGAGCTGCAAACCATGGTCTCGGGTATGCTCCAGGACAGAACACAGGATACGCAAGCAGGACTGAGAAAGAAACAAAAACAGCATCAAAAGAATGGGTATAGATACTGTTGTTGGCCAATTCCGATGCGAACACAATCGAACAAATATTTAAAAAACTCTTAGCTCCAGCTGAGAATGTCGTTGGGCATGAACTTCGGCATGAACCACTCTTTGGACGTGAGAGAGTCGTACAGGGAGTTGACCCAAACGTGCTGCAAATCATGAAGGCCACCGTCAATTCAATGTATATACTGTAACTCATTTTTTGTCAGCATGTAGCATTTAGTTGCGTGGGATGCCACTGAAGCTTTTGGAGAAAGGACCATAATTCATCAATTGCAACATCAAAGAAGGCCTCAAACATCTCTGCCAAAAACGGAAACTATGAGAAACAATGGAGAAGTTGTACACCGCTTTGCAAAATCGGTTTCTTGGGTAAGTAACAAGTACCAGTACTTCCAGGATACAAGGGAAGAAAACTGCAAGTTGCTGACAATGTTTGTCGGCTCATTATGCAGGGCTGCTGCAAGATCAATTGGAAAAGCTTGCTCAACATGGTTACTCTTGAGGATCAACCCGAACATCCACGCCAAAGTCTCTTGACCAGCTGCAAGCCGGAACAACTTTAATCAGCAATTGCACTGGTAAATAAGGCCCAAAACGCAAAGTTGCTGTATTAAATGTTGAATGCGACTGTCAAAATTTGTCTGAAGTCCAGGGCCACAGGTTGTAATATTGATAGCTATTGTACTATTGTATAATATATTTATATATATTATAACTACATATTTATATTTGTGTGTATGTAGTGAAAGAAGCAGTTGTACACTGGCCGCAGTGCAGGATTCGCCGCTCCATACACAGAATCAATTGAAAATTCGAGAGCCCGAACACACGTCGGACTATGATGGGCATTGCAGCCGTAGCAAAGGAGCAGCAAAACACCCGAATTGATGAAGCAATTCGATTGAAACAGTGGGTAACGAGATCGTAGCTGCATGTAGCTGCTGGGCCACCATATGCGATTGCAAGATCACTGTCACACCAATCATTTGGAAGAAGCGGTCGAAGATTGCTTCAACCAGCGTGATCTTTGATGCGGCTTCAAACATTTAATCTCCAGTGCAAAACAATTCCAGGATTAAGATCGCATGGCCAGCTTCCCATGCCCTCTGTTCTGCACAACAGATTGACACAGGTGTTGGCTGAGGATAAGACTCAGCAGCACACATCTTGGATCATCTTGGTATGATTCAAAGGAGATGCACGCTGCAACCAGCAAACGACAGGATGCACGGAGACTTCATCGGAGAAGAGATGACCGACATGGCCCGGCGTCATAATTGTATTGTGACGTCAGGGAGGGCAAAGAACAGAGTCCTGCGAAGATGTCCGGAGCCGCATCAAAGCGTCATCTATAAGCCGCTGCTGCACCTGGATACACCTGGATGCGCAAACCTCTTCGCTTTTGGACGAGCCCAAAACCGGTTCTCGACGACCGGACAGTTCCCCACCGGGTCAGGTCCCCCGGAGTCGTCTGGGTCCTGCCAACCGAGTCCACCTGGGCGCCCTGGCTTCTCCCAAACCAACTGTCGGATCTCACTGAAGAGCATATCGGCGTCCTGCAGCCGCACGGTCCAAAAGGATCCAACCCCAGTTGCATGGGCTGTCAGAATACCTATAATACAATCTAGTAGTCCGAGGGCTTGTAGTTTGATGGAAGCGGCATTCCAATGGTGCTACCACTTCACCTAGAGGATGGAGTTTTTTGGAGCCATGGGATACAGAGGGATAGTCCACGGTAGGTCTTTCCTTCTTGTATTTTCAATCAGTAGCAGTAGCTAAAACATGCTGATCGCAGTTGTTGTTTTGTAATCACTGTGTTTCTATTTCAATACAACGGGCTTGTCATGGTCAGTTGTCTACCAACATGGAGTTACCTCAAGTCCTCTCGTAGGAGCTATATATCTTCGATGTGGTTTGCTGCTGTCGCTACTACAACATACTGTCCCGAACACCAAGTTTCACATGAATCATGAACACCGAAGCATGGAATATTAATCATGCATCCCCCCAACCCGTCTGACACAGGAAATCAGTATGCGAGGCCCAGTGATTTTGAGGGTTTCCATTGAGTTTCCATTGTCTTCCACAAGATTATGCATGTGGTTGCGGTTAGCCCAATCCAAACAATATATACAATCCCCAGCACCCCAAACCAAACGTTTTTCAGAGACCTTATCCCAGTGGCACGGCCCGGTCGCCGGTCCTTCTTCTTCAAGCCAGGGCCGATGAGCTTCCAAATCTGGTGATGTGGCCCTGGCGGAGCGACTGTCTCTGCAACCGGGGCACCTTCTTGGCAATGTCTTCAAGCCCCGCGAGTTGACAGACTGACCAGTTTGACCTCTGTTCATGGTAGGAGTATCGGTACAGGGCCTTCAAAGAATGTCGAGCAAGTATGGTGACGGCATCGCCGAACTTCAGGAACAACGGAGTGCATGTGTGGACGAAGATCGACCAGTTGGTTGAATCAAATGCCGCTCAACCCCCTCGCAGGAAAGCTCAGCGCATTTGGCCCCTTAGAAGCTGTAGATGGATGGCCATACTACTCATCAACTTTGTGGGACAAATGCCCATGTGATGTGACAAAGATATTTTGTCTTGGATGAACCCGAACAGATCCGAACAGAACCATCCTCCAGCAGCCGACCAGCATGGAGTTATTGTCAGAAGTTTGGATTGCCCCACAGTCTCAATTTCGATTCAATTTCAACAGTATGTACTGACGTATCTGTATCTGTATAGCTGTTGTACTCCTATTGTTGTTTGCACTGTTCTTTGCATATTCTGTTCCTCTTCCAGAAACTGGAACAACTGCAATCTTGCCTGTTCAGTGTCCAGTCATCGTCAGTCCTTCATCTGGACTACCAAGAAGCGGCCCGAAGCGGGAACGTCGACCCGGGAAGGTCGACGGTCTGTCCCGTGCCACACCCCCGTGCCACTCGGCGCTTTGCTTCGGTCGCCCCCGTGCCACTCTGCGTCTTCGTCGCCATGTCTGTTCGGTCACTGAGACCCCCCAGCGCTTGAAGTCCTCAGCCTTCAGGGCCTCACGGGGTTGCCCGCTGGGAAGCGAACGAAAGTCATGAATTTGGCCACCAAGGAACGAAGCTGAACGAAGCTGTATGCTTAGCTGATGGATGTGTTCAAGCTCTCCCCAAACGAAGTCTATAGGAATAATCGTTCGGAAATCATAGAAACCTGTCCAACCCCAAACACCCACAGAAAGGGCTAAAAGCAGCAAGCCATGCAGGGCAGCCCCTATAAAGACCTGTATAATGTTCAGCATTCATCACTGATGAGTGTCTCTTAGGGAAAGACACCATTGGGGCGTGTATAGGTAAGTATAGAGCAATGCATGTTTTTCGGAATGGAAACTTGGAACCCCTAGCCCCTAGCCTCCGAAAACCAAAGACCACAACTCGTTGAAGCGCTCAAGCTCCTTCACAAACCGGTGGAATAATTTTGAGATGAAGAAAAATATATAGAATCAAAATGAATCAAAGAAAGAAATATGATCCTCAAAGAGACCACGGTGTTCCATGTCTTTCTGGGGTGAGAGGCCGGGACATACAAAAAGTAACCTTCCATCTGCTGCGCAAACACGAAGCCTCGTTGAGCTGCAAGGCCACACCCCGCGCCCATTCAACCTCCTGGCGGCGGCGTCTGGCTCCTCAACGAGGGTGTCCAAGCGTTTTCCTCAACCAATGGCCATATTTGGGGCAAGACAAAAGACGGCGGGCCCAGCACTTCGCGGTCCAAAATACACTTTATATATGCCATCTATAGTGATAGTCCACCTTTCGCAGTTCTCAACTTGTGCAGGTTCTCCAGGATTAAGGAAAGTCAACTCTTTCCACAGCCACAAGTTCTCTTTCAGCTGCCAGGTGCCCAAATCTCAAGCGCAATAGAAGAGAGTTTGTAGGGAAGTGTGACACAAAATACCACATACCCATGACGAGGGGATTTCCCCTCTAGATGGACCTTAGTACAAAAAACATGATCCTCCCCTCCTTTTGATCCTCAAAGCACAAAAGCACAGCCTCATGCCACAAAAGGCGGCATGCACGCCTTCGGGTCAACCTCGGGCTCCGCAGAGGCTTTGCTCTGTTGCATCTCTAGCACCTCATGGCAAAGGAGGCGTTCCATCGACTCAGCTAGCCTGAAAACCCTTTTCCCAGGGAATTCCCAAGAACTGACATCGTTGGTCATTGGTTAATTTTAAATATGTATGTCATATATCCGTGCTGTTGGTGGTTTGGGGCCTGGTTCAAGTTGCTCAAAGATGGAAAGGGTCATCAGCTGATGGACTGGTTTGGGAAAGTGAGCCATACAGTAAGATTTGGGGCAAAGCTCCTCGTCATGTCATCCAGCAGCACGACTACAAACATCAGAATATTGCTTAAATGTCAGAGGCGGCGGACACTTTGTTTGCACCTCCAATTCTTCAGCAAACCAATTATGGTAAGAAATGAAGGATTCCAAGAAATGAAACGGGCGCCGTCATTGTAGGGTCAATGCTTGCCCACTTCCCCATCTCACCCGCTGAGGTCACCACCTTCCGATGCTTCCTGGGCTTCCATCAAGCAAAGGACGACGACAAGGAACGGTTCGACACCACGGAGATTTCATGGGATTTCGATCTGGGAGAATAGTAAATCACATGGACAGAACTCTTTGGAGGTTTGAAGGCTCAAACATGGAATCATGCAAACGGATCACATGGAATGTGGTCAGTTCAGATTGTATCGCCGCCGCTCTGAATCTTTCTGAATAACCTAAAAACACAGACTAGACTAGAAGGAACTTTTCCAACCACCTGGTGTGTGAGAGCGACCTAACGCGACAAACCTTCATACGTTTAGGGTCGCACTACGCTGTCACATTTCGGGGGTTTAGGGTGTATTCCATCACCACTACGCTGCATGACAGGCGATGAGTGTTTACTAAATGTTTTCCTACTAAACCCTGTGTCATAAGGTACTAGGAATGGGACACATCAAAGAATAAGTATATCCGGTGGCCACTCATCATCCACTCATCCACTCCTCGGATGTTCTGGACTTCGTTCACCGTTCCAAGAATCTCTTCTTGCTCTTCTTCGGCCATGAGAAGGAACAAGGTACTCGCCTTAGGAGCGTACAAAAACCATCACCTGTCGTTAGACTAGACAGGTCACCGACGAAGGCACCCAAGGCCCAGAGTTAGCAACCACAAAAGGAATGCGCTTTGGGCCTTGCATGCCTTTACCACCATCAAGGTTTATCGTTTGACTTTATAACACCAATTCATGGTCCGGTTTGGGAATGCGTAGTAACACCAGCTCCAACAAGGCGTTGAAACGGGAAACTCAGTGAGTGAGTCCTTTCGATGGGAGTGATTCCAGCATGAGCTGGAAGGAGCTCTGTTAAACGGTGGTGAATGGCTGAGCACAACGACATCGTTTTTCAAACATTTCGAAGCGAACATCCAGCAATACTACGTACAACATCGTACGACTATATATGATCTGATTAAAAAAGAGAACATGAACATTCCGCAAAATATGTTTTTTGACAAACATCTTATAGGATGCATTTCTTGGGCACAAGAACTGTTGCCTCTGAACCGAGCCAAACCGCGGTCCAAATGCATCTCCGGCACCTCTTGGTCTAAAACCAGTGATGTTTTGGAGTCGATCCGCAGACTAGTCAATTACATCGGTGATCCGAATACGTCCGATGATCCACAAGCGATTGAATGGTCAAAGAATTGAATCCCCGGACTGGAGACCAATCCTTCACTCTCACTTACCCTGATTGCAATGGCCTCCAAGCTAAGAGTGATGGCCTCCAATCTAATTGCTCAAATTCAAAAGTCCCAACTAGGCTTCTCTGGGTTTCCCTCGCAGTCTCCCTCTCAGCCCGATGTTGCGGGCCATTGGGGACCGCCTGCATGGCCTGACGGTTAACACGACAAAGCTTGGCCTCAATTATTCCTACTGGGGGCCTCGGGGGCAAGTTTGTTGCCTCAAATATGTTCAATGGTTCGGTTTGTAAAGGTTAAGAGCAGGTTTGCGGCAAACGGTTTGCGTGTAAACTGATGGCTCTTGTTTCTCCTTCAGAATCTCTGCTACAACATCAATCCGAATCCTTGGAAGACGAAGAAGTAGATGTCGGTTGATTCTAAATGTTCAATCACACTCCTGGTGCTCCAGGAAGCTGGATGACATTGGGAGCACAAAGGATTAGTCAAACAGTGACGTCGAGACTCCCATGAACACATACGGCCATCAGACTCATTCTTTATGCAACGTAAGGCTGGATGAATGAAGTCCATGACACCAACCTGCGCTTCTGATGTGTCAGACACGGCGCTGTCAATCCAGCGAAAGGTGTTTGTTTTGTCTTCATTGTATTTATATAGTTTTTCTCTTGTCTTGTCTTTCCCTTTTCTTCCGTTTCTTTCTTCCTTCCTTCCTTTCTTTCTTTATGTCATTATGTCTAATTTATGTCTTCATTTCGTTCTTTCTTTCTTTCTGTCTTTCTTTATTTATTTCTTCTTCTCCGTCGCACAGGCATATCAGCAAACCGTGTGAACCGAAAAAACTCAACCCCGAGCGAGCGCAACACCAAGTGCATCCAAGCCTTCTTGGCCAACTGACGGCCTTTCATCCACCAACCTTGGTTCGATTGGATGGACAACCATAGTGATCGGCCCAGAAGTGTTCTTGATCAAACTCGTGGATCTCAGATTCAATTTTCGGGAGGTGTAAATATCCGCAACTATATTTATATCAATTGATCTCAGTATTAATAGAGAGAACAGTTATGACATATTGAAGCTGAACAACCCCGAACAAGCATATTACGCGCCCTTAACCTTCACTCTGTAAATTGAGTTGGATAGTCTTTCATGAAACTTGTGGACCAGGATTTTGTCTGTCAACAGAAAGTGTGGATAACACTGGACTACTGCGATACCAAGCTCCATGGCTGTACTATTACGCATGTCTTCATGTGCATTTTAACACCCAAAATCCTTTAAATATTATAAACGATACCAGCCCCTCTATACACACCTGTCATGTTTGCCACAACCCCCTCTAAACCCAGTGGATCACAGCTACTACACCGACTACACCAACGGTAAATCTCAGTAATTACCGCTGGTGTTTTTTGGAAGCCCCTTTTGGTCACCTGAAGTCAGAGCCCCAAAGCTCCGTAGACGAACTCAGCCGGGTCGGTGCCTTTTTGAAGATGACCTGGATGCAAGTGATGCCGAAACAGGTTTGGCTTGCATCTTTTGCATCACGAACTAACCAAAAAATTATGCCGCCCCCCCCCCCACACGCCCTAATTCTCACTTCGTTCGCATAAATCATCTTATTTGATTTCAGCCTAGCCTATCCGCTGGCTTTCGCAAATTAGTGTTCCTGGTTCACTTGTTTTGTCAAGTTTCTGTAACACTGTATATATATATATATGCATATCCTGAAACAAAGATTTTGGATGACTTTGCTCTTTGATCTTTTGGGCCCCACAGACCAAAGTACGCCATCACCGAGCCCACCGTCCATCGCCCATCCGCAAAAAGATCTGAGGAGCCGATGTGCTTGGCAGCGATGGCACCCTCCCAGGCAGCTAAAAAGCATTTGGGATCCTTCTCCAGTGCTTCGTCTGCCTGGGACGACTTTCTCTCAGCGGCAGGAGTTGTGGAAGAAACAGCCAGTCTGACGAAATTCGAGACCTGTGCTGAACTCTGTGTGCTGAATGGTTGCTATGTTTAATCATCACCTCTAATCAGCCGCTTTGATAACCTTTAATCACCTTGAAAGGTGTTTCCAGCACCTATAATCAGCATTTTTGCGCATGTTTGATCTTCCCAAACATGTGTTCTTCCCCCCTTCAGCCCACCTCCTGGATCGCCCACTCGGCAGCCATGCCCACCAAAGGATCCTGCCGTTGATTTGGTCTTCTGTAGATTTCTTTGACATTAGGACTTTGCTGATCTAGATACCATGTTTACAAAGAGAACATTGTCATCCATTGCGAACCACAAAAGGTGCTAGGCAAAACTAAATATATTATATATATCTATTATTTATAATATATAAATAGGACACTGTGATAGAGCGGTCATAGAAAGCTCTTGAAGAAAATAAGGAGATATGCACCCAGAGGATATCCAGGTGAGTCTCATGCTTTACGTGAAATGACCCTTCTCAGATACATGTCACAAGCATTGCCTGCACCCTGTGGTGGCAAATGCTAACAGTAGGAGTCAAGGCTTATCAACACGGAACTTTGGACTTCCTGGTTCGAGAAATCAGCAAAGTGGTTGCAGCTAGTCAAACCACCACAAAGTTGGCAAAGGTTACTTAATTACATGTGGTTACCGCAACCAAGGCCACCATTTAATGAAATTGCTTTCGACATGCTTCGAACCGTTTCCAAAAGAAGGCATCATCTATGCTTAGCGAGTGGAGTTCTTTGTCAACCTCCCAGTTGATTTGGATTCCCCGTGTTCATCTGCGATCAACCGAAACGCTCCTCCTCTTCGTCGTTGACCCCCTGCCCAAGTCGCTGGGGGGGTTCATGGAGTTGCAGAACCGGCAGAAGTGACAAACATGGCTTGAAGAAAGCACGGACATTGAACAATATGTCTTTTGAACAACGATAGATATGATAGATATAGAATAATATACAATCTCAAAACATCTTGAAACAACATCTACAGTCAGTCATACTGTAACGAGTGTTTCGTTCTATTTCTACGTCTGGATGACAGATATGACATGATATGACAGCCACTTGGAACCCCCAAACCACCAGTCTTGCAGAAAATCTGGATCCAGAAGTTGATCAGAGTCCGTATGAGTCCGCAGAGTCTCTCGTTCCTGGACCTAAATCCAGCGGAGTCCTCCTTCCTTCCCCTTCGTATCCTTCGCTCTCTTCTTCGAGTGCCGCACCTTCTTGCTCTCTGCCAAGCGTCGATACGTCTTGGCCCGCGCCGCTTGGAGCTCCGCCTGTCGTCGCAGGGGCAGCACCTGGGCGCGTACTCGCGCCGCAACCGCGCCGGACGTGGCGGACGCGTCGAGGCAGACTCGCACAATGAAAGAATCATGGTCTTTGAGGACTCACCTTGGGGTCTAGTCTATGGAAACATATGGAAACTATGGAGTCTATGGATTTTGATGATGTTGAATTGTTCAATTATGTTCAACTCGGGGTCCATATAACATCCGCAAGCTTGGATTGAGGGTTTTGAGACCCAAGAATTGAATATGACCAAATCATCGACTGCGAATAGACCGTGGGACCCCCTGGGCTGGATTCCAAAAGGCATCATAACTATCATGATGTCTCTTCGATTCCTGAGCACATGATCCTTGCCCAATTATGTTCACCTCACTTCCTATAGTGTCAGTGCCTTGTCTGAGGAATACTCCCACTCCCCTGCAGATTCACATGGAACCCCAAAAACCACTGGGTTGTAGAGGAAAATGATCGAAACCACCGGTCAATTCTCGGGTTCCATGGAGTCGTTTGCTGGAGAGTATCCAAAAGAACCTCAACCACCAAACGCCGTCTTCGCCTCACTGGAGGAAAACCAAACAAACCAGGTGAACCTGAACAGAAGGACCTTCTGGTCGCCGGCTCTCGCTCACCACCTGACCGAAACAAAGAAACAAAGTAAACTCACGCAGACCTTCAAAGGGTCAACTGCTGAGACTTGATTTAGTTTTTGATGTGAAACCATGGGGCTGCAGCAGTGGAAGGTTGCACCTCCCGTGCATTGCACCTCCTGCTCCCGAAATCCAAGGCCCGGGACTGGCAAGGCTAAAGCGCGCTTGTAGACCTGTCAAGGAGGATGGATTCTCCAGATGCTTGGTCCCTTGGCCACGGGGACCAACTCCTGTTCACCTCGGGGACCTGGGGGATTCGGGCACGGCGTTCAGCGGCTCGGGGCGATCTGGTGGTAAGCCCCGGGACCTCGACCCATAGATGCCGTTGTTGCTGCTGCCAATGTAAATATTCATATTGAAACCATCTGCAAACCGCAAGCGGGGCCATTAAGTACATCGACATGAATCAATTGCACTTTTCAAACCGTTCATTCATTTTGTCAGGAACAAAGGTATTCAACATTAACATGTCATAACATGTCCATGTATCGTCCCAAGTTTCAACACTGAGTTTAGTCCCTTTGTAGACCCTGCCAAGCAGGTGGAAGTCACTACTCACCACCATCGACCGTGGCAGGATGCGTATTCAATATGTAAGGATCATCTATGTAATTCTATGTACCTTTAAAGACCAGCGAGGGCACCCTGCATAATAATGCGTTGATATGGCTGTGGGTCAAGACTGAGAAGGCCCGGTTGACCACGGAAAATCAACAGAATGGACTAATCATGTAAGTGCATGCAAGTGCCCTTCTTTCTCCGAGTCTCGCCTCCGCAGCCCTCTTAAAGCGCTGTTGGTCGTTGAGCGCCTTGAAACAGCCAAGCAGCTGGCCAAGGCGACGGCAGAAACAACGATGAAGCAACGACAGCTGTCTCGCTTTCCGTGGGAGAACAGGTGACCTTTAGGTAACGCACTGTGTTGACGTCTGGAATTCTTGCACCTTCAAACCCAAACTCAACTCCAAACAGAAGAGGCCCCTCGAATCGCCGAATCGCATCCCGAGTTCCGGAAAGGTCTCTCGGCTGGCTCATCCTTCAGTTCGATGAGCAAAACCAATAAAACAAACCCACCTTGGGGAGGATAATGGCGGATATGTATGGTGCTCCTCCATCACCCAATTGAACACAGGTGGATTCCGCAAACGTCGGGACAGGGCCAGCTCTGAAGCACAATTGAATACATCATGCCAGACCCCGCCAGACCTGCCCAGCCAACACAAATAAGGTTTAAAAGACCTCTACAACTTGCCCGGCTGTGAAGGATCCGGGATGCATATCCGGTCCCTCAAATTGAGGCCATTCTTTTTGTTGGTTCGTCGTATAGTCTTTAACTCTCAGGGTCTAGCCCTGAACGAGAGAAAACCAAAAGAGGTCGAAAGAAAAAAACAAGAGACAAAAAATACAAACAAACAAAGAAAACATATTAAACAATAACAAGTCTAAACTCTAAAGAAAAACAAGAGGACCGTCGCCACGGATCCTCTTGAGACCAGCCTCGGCCTCCTGGGACCAGACCTGGAGGCCATTGATTTCGGACATCTTTCCCTCAAAAGGAAAACAATTTAATAAGAAGGTTTCTTTGCCTAATAGTGATGGCATCCAACCAAACAAAGCAGCGGTGGCCTCCAACCTAATAGTGATGGCCTCCAACCCAACCCAGTAGCGATGGACTCCAACCTAGTAGCGATGGCCTCCAACCCAACCTAGTAGCGATGGACTCCAACCTAGTAGCGATGGACTCCAACCTAGTAGCGATGGCCTCCAACCCAACCTAGTAGCGATGGCCTCCAACCTGGCCTCCAACCTAGTCTGGTCTTTCTCCAGGTGATTAACATCTATAACATCTATTCTATGGGGCTCTTGGATTTCTGTGGAGAGAGAATGGACAATTCTTCGATGGAAATCGAATCGCAATTAGTTCTGGACTCTGTACAAGATCGTGTCATTCAGTCACTGCTTGGATGATCAAGTGCGGATGTGACACGTACCAAACAGTTTCCTGGAATTCCTTTGTTCCCCTATGAAAGGGGAACATGGTGAAAAGTGGTGAAATATGTACACAATGTATATAGCACTATCAGTATATACCCTATCTTATGACCCCAGCAAAATATGATGATGCCAGCAAAGCATATGATCATGGAGGAAATCCGTTTATTTGGGGTCCTTCCTGGTTCCTGGTTGAAGAAGTTGTTTCCATGTGAGCCCAAACCATAGTCCATCCAAGCTATGATGTAAATCAACCCGACCTGTGTGGATCAGTGACAACCAATTTAACCAAAAAAAAGTGACTCATATATCCAAGAAACTTCCAGTTTCCTCTAGAAGGTAGTTCGTCCCAGCGTGCTGAATTTTGGAGATTCACTCAAACATTCATCCGAAGGGGAGGCCTTCACACTGGAAATTATTTCTGAGTGGGAATGTTGATCCAATGTTGCTAGCCCCTGAACATCACCACAAAGTGAGCCAAGAAAAGACTGGACAGAGTGCAATGACCTGTAAATTAAATCCGAACCCCCTACCTCCAGGAACATGGAAAAACAATTTCTTAACAGTGAGATTTTTGTCCTGTCCCCTACCCCCCCCACCTCAAAAAACAATTTCCACATGCAGTGACAAAGAAGAGACGGTGAACTGATGCGGAATGCTGCGTGAAGCAATTGTGGCACGAAAGCCTACTAAAAAAGGGTCTCCTGATTTGAAAAAATGTGACCCTTTTTGGTGGGCACACTACAGGCATTCATCACAAGCCTACCCCTAGCAGTGTCGATTTTTGTCCATAGGTAATCCTTGCACACAGTTCATGTCATTGGACTTGGTCAGCCCTGGATCTGGCTGAAGGTTTCTTGGTGGCAAATGGCTTCTTCATGACAGTATTGGAGCTGGCTGAAGGTCTTTTGATGGCACAAGTCTTCTTGATGACAGTCTTCTTAACTTTCCGAACTTGGTTCGCTGACTTCAGGGGTGTCGAAGTGATACTGAAAGAAGTTGCATAGTGCCAAAGGTCTGCCTGCACTGCTTGATGAAAGACTTTTTCCCATTGGTTGAGCTGCTGATGCCAGACACCTGCTTCTCTGACAATGATCCAAGATGGGTAGTCAAAGCTCCACATGCACAGGCAATCAAAGAAATTCAAGAAATTCGTCGTCTTGACGCCTTCAAGAACAGTTCCTGATGTCAAAGACCGCGAGGTGCCGGCGCAATCATCACAAGCTCGGCTGCGGGAGATCCAATCCCAGGACTGTCGGTCTGCACCTAGCCGAATGCGTAAATGAAAGGCACCACCACACGTTTCACACGTGTACTCTTCGGACAAAAGCTTTGAATGCATAGCAAATAAGATGCCTTTCAAGGACGAGTTGTCCGGGTATGGATCAGTCGACTGAAGAGAAGCCCACTTGACACTATGCAGAAAATCAGTTCTTGACCGAATGCAGCGCAAAGAAAATTTCTTCTGAAAGTCAGCCATGTTCTTGTAGGTCGCCATGATAGGCCATATGAAGAGCCGAAGAACTACACTCACAAGCTTCACTGACACCTGTTATTTGACACAGACATGCCACACCACAAGATGAATCTTATTGGAAGGTACTGAAGACACAGTTGCAGAGGAAAAGCTACGACAATGACAAGCTGTGTTGAGCAAAGGCAAAAAGCAAGCGCAAATACATTGAGGCTCAGAATCTTTTTTTTTGATATGAGACACCAGGTCAAAATGGTCCAGACTGCTACACAAAGCTTAATGCCCACGCTACTCTCTCAGTAACGTATGTCTCTAAGAGCTGATCACTACTCCATATTACCATGATCAAAGACATCCTCAAAGTCGCCAAGCTCATCAAAGTCACCAAGCTCAGGCTCCTCTGCCTCTGCGTCCACATCAATGAGCCCGAAGCACGCGCGAGGCTTCTTGGTGGCAGGTGATGTGATTTCCTCCTTGAGATGGACTGGAGATGCTGGAGCAGTAGAAGCCGGTGGAGATGCTGGAGCAGCCTCTAGACGCCAACGATCATGTGTCTCAGCACGGTGGATGTAGTCTTTCTGTTCAGGGGTTGCCAAGAGTTTTGCAACCAAGGCTTGCTCTTCCTCAACCGTGGAGTCGTAGCCATGATACTTTTCACGCACACCTTGCTTGTACATACCGTAGAACTTCTTATGACGAGTTTCCTGGAGCCAACCCTTTGTCACACCGCCCTCATTGAAGCAATGAATTGGTTCTGATGTGTGTTCACTTGGAAGACGAACGTAAACACCATTGTGCCCAGCAATGATTACCGTGGTCCTCTTCAAGATGGCCATCAGATGTGGAAACTTTGGATATTGACAAGCTGTGAGGAACATTTCCTGGAATTGCTCCCACGTGATGTGTGACAAGCAAGTGTCCGGCTCTTTCGACTCATCCCATTCATTGTTGAGGACGATGCGGCATTGGTTCCGGGAGAATTTAGCGGCCCTGTACCGCGCATCAACCAAGCAGTTTTCACCCACATCCAAGAAGGATTTGAGATCCTCCAGGTTGATGCTGCTCAAGTTGGGATCGTCCAAGAGAGCTGGGACGTTGATTTCGCCTGGACGCTCTCTAAAGCCATCAATTTGCTTGGAGCGCCGCCATCCAGGTAAACCAGACAAACTGCGAGAAGATGTGAGGTGACGAGCAACGGCCATCGCCATGATCTGAGCTGTAGGCGTCTTCCCGACTCCTGCTTTCCCGAGCACCATCAAGCCAAAGGACGGCATCAAAGGCAAGATCATCGGTACAATCTTGTTGAGAAAGGTTGGTTCAAATCCAAGAGCAACAAAGGAAAGAAGTACTCTGGCTCAGCTTGGGAGTTGCCAGTAACCCGATTTGCGCACGCTTTGAGCACCACGTGTTGGGGCCAGCCATGCAGAGATGTATCATCACGAATCTGAAGAAGGACCCAAAGGTATTGCTCGTTCTTTGAATTGGCCAAGGGCGCATAGTCGTTGATATAGTTGATGCCACTGCGAAGTTCCTCTTCTGTTGGACTCCATGCCTTATCTGAATCGGCTGAAGGGCGCTGCTCTTTGGGAACTTGTTTTTGTCGCAATACCTGAGACAACTGCTGATCTGTGAGAGCATATAAAGAAATGCCTTCTTGACTGCATCAGAGTTTTTGACCAAGGAGTAGTCAATCACCAAGAACCGATCTGCACATAGTGTCCTCGCCAGACCTATAGGAATGCTCACCTTGGAATGGTAAAACTTCAAGGCCGTGCAGGAACCGTCAGGATGTTGGTGGAGAACGAGCTGCAAGTGACAAGAAATTCCAAGTGCATCTTGGGGACGCACAGAGTTTGGCAAGCGTGAGATACACAAGGGATCTTCAGACATAACAGCCCGAATTACCTCCTGATCTTCTGTCGAAATGTTGGGCACTACATGAAAGAACTCCTTGAAGCTTTTCTTGCTTTGGCGTGAAGACTGTACCAAGGGCAAAGCATCCATTGTGAACTTGCCATTTGATACTTCAGCATGCTGTAGGGAATCCAGGTAGTTGACATAGTAGGAAGCAGCCTCTGCCAGACAAACCCCCATGATAAGACACGGTAAGCAGTACAAGCAGACGTTTGATACCTTGATGTAAAATAGCTCATTGGAGATATAAGCAAACAAAATGTTCATTTACATGTCTGCAAAGACAAATGTTTGCAAACCAAGGCCTGCGTTTGCAAGCTCATGCTTTCACAAAAAGGTTGTCCATATCACAAAGCACAAGTTTATACAATTTCGAAACCCTATTTTGCTTAACCAAACCCACATGGAAGAAGAAAGAATATGAAAGAATCATGGAACATGACAATAAAGAATATTAGTTAGGGGCGTGGAGACTCGTAGAAGAGAAACAATGGGGAAGAGAGGGAGGGGGGAGGGGGGGGGGGG